TCGGCGTACTCTCTACAAATCGAGGACGAGCATACTCGACCATATTTTGGAACCAGTCCCCATAGCCCAGCAACTCAGCAGTCCTCTGCACGCGGGGAGAGCAGTTTGGCGAACAGCCAATCCCATGATAGGAGTATCGGCGTTAGCTCGGAGCAATCTGGTCCATCGCTGGGCGACTTCCAAGAAGTCTGTGCTCGATAGCCCGTTCAATATCGACGTTTCCACTTCATCTAGGAGACGTCCATTATCCAACGCTGCCTTACTTAAGGCTGCCTTCCAGTAACGCTTTTTCGCCGAACACGCTTTCGCTTTTGGGCCACCACTGCGACGTGTGATGTTGCCAGGAATCATTGATAGGCTAGAAATCCTATAGGCTTATTCCCCCCAAGATAGTAGATTGTCTAGGATACTCGTAACTTGAAAGCCCAGCAAGTTCTGTGGAAAGAATCTTCTTGAAGTTGGAGCTCCTCTGGGCTTGTACTAAGAGTCCGCTAGCCAGTTTAGGCATTGATGGCACTCTACTGCGGTATGACGACGGCAGACGGTGGCTCCATTTTGATGGTTCTTTTGACCTGAAGAATTTGGACGTTTGAGATACGGTTACAGCTATTCTGGGTAATTTGCTTCTACTACAAGCCGCGGCGGTAGCACCACTACAGGCAGTACCACCACAGGCAGCACCACCACTCGCAGTAGCACCACCACAGGCGGCAGCAGCTCCTCAGGGGCTCCCGCCCCGCCTGTGGCAGCGCCACCACCACAGGCAGCACCACCACCACTACCACCAGCAGTAGCACCACCACAAGCGGCAGCTCCTTAGGGGCTTCCACCGCCGCCTGCGGCAGAGCAGGACGAGCCCTCTCCGCATAATGACATTGGGGCGGATGACGACGACGTAAGACCTCACGGGTGGCAAATCTGTACGAAAATTATGGGATAAACTTCCGAAGTGAGCTAAATGGCTAGTCCTATTGAGAAAAACGTGCTGATCAAGAATATAGCGTTGGTTTTGTTTCAAAACATCCCGTTCAGAAATTATAGCCAAAACCGTTTTCGTGCATTATCTGCAATGCACCACAGGGTTGCGCGTGCATATTGTAGCTCAATTCCCCCACCAAGCTCTACATACTGTGTAGAGAGCAAATTACAACACCAATCATTCAGTAGAAGCTTCCATAAGTATAACAGAAGTGATTCCAACTTTAAGCCACTACTTCGTTTTGAACTTCAAAGCGAAGTACTACTCTGAATCGCTGTCCTCTGATAGCCCACCACTAGACGGGTAGTCAGGCTCGGAAGACGATGTACACATGTCCGACCCAGTAGCGGGAACAACATCACTGCGACTATCATCCCTGCTGGCATGATCCCAATCGATATTCCAATTGTACGTTACCGTACAATCAACTAAACGGTTCGGGAACTTGCTGTTATCGGGGTTAACCTTGAACCTGAGGTCCCAAAGGCGTTGCACCCGTGAGTGCAATGTCTCGCCGGATTGCTCGGACGATAACCCCAAACCAGCACCACTTGATGGTTCGTAGTGCTCGAGATACTCGACCACATGGTCAGAAAGGATGTGGGCTTTCAAAGACCAGCGAAGGCCTGCAGCAGTCCAGCTCTGACGGAAATGGTCTAGGTCCTCCTTCCACGAGTTCCTGCGTTCCAGACCTAAGCAAGAGTCCTTAACTTCTTTCAGGGCTTTCAAGACTACAACCACTTTTGCACGATCTGCGGCAAAAGGAATACCATTGTGGGACACAGCATCGAGCAGCCGCGAGCAGGCATTTCCTTCAAGAGCTCCATCAAAGTATGTAGACCTTTTGATCCCCTCCTTCTTCAAGGCCAGGCAGTGGCGCTTATACAGCCTGGCACTCTCCTCAGTGGGTCTTGCTACACTATATGCCTTGTTAGTCAAGCCAAGTAGAAGATGTAGCGGAGACAAGGACAAAACCTCCATGGGAGACTTGTCCCACTGCAAAACTGGTTCACCAATGACGTTGTGCTCACGACCGTTCAAGTCCTTCATGTGTTGATCCCAGCCTCTAGCTGTAGCTGGCGTACCACAGCACTTGTTGCCGTTGAGGAAGAGACAAAAGGGGCAGGGATACTTGCTCGCTGCTGTCTGGATCCCAACCATCATCGCAGAAACCTTCAGATCGCACGCCACCTGCTTCGGTATAGCCAAGTCGAAAAGTCTCCGAACTGACTGATAACGGAACAGTTCTTTAAGGTTGTGGCTGCTTTCCGAAGCTTGCCCCATACCTATCAGAAAGTTTTTCATCACACTGTTTGGGCTAGCAACGTAACTGGATCCCTCTTCCATGCTAACAATGTTGACCGAGAGCTTTAAGAACTGTTGGCCACCATCAAACTGGAACTTGAGCCTGGTGATGTGATGAGCTTCGCCGTCAGTGACCGTATTGAGAAGAAGATTTACATCAGTGCAGAGACCGAAAGGAGTGGAGCAAGCCTCTGAATTACGCTCTCGCTCCAGAAGAAGATGTTCGTACGTGAACATCGGTCCAAAGACTTCCCATTTCTCTTCCATGGCTTTTTTCAGTCCTCCTTCAGGAAATTGGATGCCTTCATTTCTCAAGACTCTTCCCAATTGCAAAGCGCTAGTCTTTCCAAGTCCCAAATGACCCACACGTAACATATCACGCACCGCCTCCTTACTCAAAGTCGTTACTGGCCCATTGGAAGAGCGGTTAGCACGCTCATAAGGCATGGGAGTTAGAGCCATGTAGTAATTACTTCCATGACTCACCCCAGTGCTTACCGGACTCGAAGGTTGAGTAGAGGAGCTTGCTGGGTCATCGAACAGCGCCCGAAGATTCCGTTTTACAAACTGATCAGAATGCCCTCTAGTAGCAACTCTCTCTGCGAACCTTTCACCGGCTTCCGCGTGAGACCGATGCCTCTTTCGCACTGCCTGGCAGTGAGCATCGTCATG